GAGGTCTTATTAAAACACATAAGGAATTCAATTATGTTTAATATCTATTTCTTGGCCATGGGAAAACTTTTTATCTTTTTATAAAATATACAGCATACATGTAGCATACAAATGTTAATCCAGAAATCAAAATTAAATGGTAACAGAAATTCAAATTCTTGTTCAAAATACATTTTGAACATGAAAATATAGTGTCGAAGTAAAACTTAAGCATTTAACTAGAAGCTGTCATAGAATAAATCATGCAAATACATACATTGTATTTACATGCAGAAACAATTATTTCAACGCCTTACATCATGTACATAAATTACACATCTATTTTCCTATTCCTAGAATCTTTTTTTATATTATTTGTATTTCAAGTCTCCACATTTAAGTTATTAGTCCTGACATTTCTCCACTCTCCATCTTTATTCACCTAAACCTTGCCTTATAAAAATTGGTTTGAAGAAAAAGTGACAATTGATAATTGATAATAAAGTTATTAGAGGAGGAGGTTATGATTAAGTTCCACGATTTGGCCTCATAAATTGCAAAAATAGCAAACTTATTCAAGCCTTTCAAATTTATTTAATTTTAGTGATGAATAAACAGGTTAATATAATCTGGAAACTTTAGTAGAGAAAGGTCACTTATGAATGTCACTATGAGGTCACAAACGAGTGGAAATTTACGTTTTCGTTCAAAATTTATACAGATATATGAGCAACAGCTTTACCAAAAAAGATATTTTCACACATAAACATCTTTTAGGGTAAATCTGTTGCATATATCTAAATATTAATGACAAGATCTCAAAATGAGGTTATTTCAGCAGTTGTGTGTCTTATGAACATTTGAAGGATGTTTTTGCTAAATTTATAATACTTTCTGATTTTCAAATTCAAGGGGCCAAAAAGTGGCCTTATCATACCATCTCCTTTGTTTGAGTGCACAAAGGTTGTCTAAATTTGCCTCTTTACCTTGTTTCTCAATTTTTTTTAAAATTGTTTTCATTTTCAATGTCAAGCACAATATACATAATAACATTAAGTCCCTTCATATATTAAGTCCGAGAATTTGTGCATTAATTAAAAAAAGTTTTATAACAGGATCATTTTTATGATATATTTGCAAAGATTTACTGTTTAATGCTGAAAATTTATTGTGTATTTAGGAAGAGCTTAATTTGGAATAGATAATCTAAATCATCTTATTATTATCTTAACCATGTTAACTCTGATTGCTTGCATTTCTTGAAAAAATGGTCTTGAGCAAGAAATCTTTGAGTGTTCAATTGTGTTTTGGATTTTATATCAATGAAATCTTTGACTTGCTCACTTCACAAATTGTCACAACTACATTACATCCATAGCTGTTTTTTTATAATCTAAATAAATACTTTAATGGAAATAAATATTCAATTCTAAGTCTACACTGTATGTCAAGTGCCTATATACTAAAGGATTATTATACATTTAATAGGTTCCTAGTTCAACAACTGGCCATTCTTTCTTGTCAGTATGTGCAAACTTGCACTTTTAACCAACATTAGGTATTACCATTTAAATGAGACCTTACAACCTACATTAATAATTTTAGGATTTAAATTTCAGCACAAATGAAAAATTTATTTCCTATCTATGAATCTGATATATTAAAATTTACAAGGACTGATCAAATACACTGATCCATAAATGAAGGTTGATATATGACCGATTAGTACAGGTAATGACATTAATTACAGGTGAGAAATCTAAATAACTAGACATAATCAGTAAGTGATTAATAAGATTTACAATGTAGTTATATTTCTATGGTCATAACCAAACTAACAAGTAGTTATGAACATTGTTTTTTTTAGATTTAACATTCAAATTAAGTTCTTTTTCTCTTACATGTAAAGTTTTATGATATCTCACCTAGTCTATGATTCTCTGACATGAAGGTTGAGCAAGATTCCATAATAAATTAAATTTAAGTTACAAAATAACATTAGAGCAAGTTTTGATAGAAATTCCTATCATTATGACACTCTTTTAATCTAAAAGAGAGATAAAAGAAAAGAAAAATTTATAAACTCAAATTTACAAAATGCAAAATTGCCAAGGCCTTGTTGACCAAAAAACTTTATAATGAAGCCTGAAAATGGCAGACATTGTAAATATTCACACTTCAAAGCAAACTCCTGACAGTGAAAGTATTATTTGCTGCTGAACATTAAAGAGCTAACAATAAATCAATCTTTAATTAGTTATTAAAATTCCAACTATACATGACAATTACAAATAGTAAATTCATTGTCATTCTAAAATTACAATTGTACATGACAATTACAAATAGTAATTCATTGTCATTTTAAAATTACAATTGTAAATTCATTATCATTTTAAAATTACAAATGTACAGGACAATTACAAATAGTAGATTCATTGTCATTTTAAAATTACAATTGTATATAGGACAATTACAAATAGTAAATTCATTGTCATTTTAAAATTACAATTGTATATAAGACAATTACAAATAGTAAATTCATTGTCATTTTAAAATTACAATTGTATATAGGACAATTATAAATAGTAAATTCATTGTCAACCTTCATATTGAAATAAATGAAAGCAAATGTACATTCAGAATATTTTGATTTTTTTTCTAAGGATGGAAATGACATTAGAACTCACACTTTAAAATCCTGACGGCATTATATATATATATATATATATGTAGTTTTTTCATGTTTTTTGTAACATAATATAATGAATTTCACTCTTCTTGATTATAACTGAATACATGTATATTTATATTGTGAGTTTTGGAGCAGTATATATGAGGCTATAGAACTTTACTCTCTAAAATGTGCAGTAAACTGCCGTTACAAATAGACGTCACCCTTTGGTAAAACACTTCTCAATCTTGAATTGTTTTGTACAATACTAACCAAACAGTAACATTCTTAACACCTGCCTATCCACTACATACATGTACATGTATTTTCGAACTACATGTAACTCTATAATGATGACTGATTTATGATCCTGCCAAATCTTGGCAGTTCCAGTTCCTCAGTGTAAATTGTACATATTACATGTACATGTATGTAAATCATTTGGTATGCCAGGCCTTTAATCAATTCAAATATATTATTTTTTATATTCAATATATATTTTCATAGTTTGTATTACATGTGATTTTTTCTGTATGCATTATATTTCCTTTAGTAATTTTCAAACTTAAATCTGGCATCAGGAAACCTTTAATGTTGTATGTATACTATTTACATATGTACAACATTTAATACAACATATTTTTTCTACCATTTATGACATAAGATACATGAGTTGTCTTTCATTAAAATTAAATTTGGACAATGGTAACCAGATGTCTCCATGATTACAAATAGTGTTGTCAATTCTGAGATAAACATAATGGTTACTTCATCAATGTGTTAACTAACAATAAATTTAGGTTAAGGTGTAAATTTGTTGATATGATATAGATATCTGGTACAAACAATTTTATCTATTCATGCTATTTATTCAATATTTGCGAATTGGTAATAAAACCATCAATTTTATTTGATTACAGAAAACACTCTCATTATAAAATTAAAATTATGATGTACATACATTTCTGTACATACATGTATATACTTGTATGAAGGGAAGTTCCTGTAAATTAACATCTACATGTACATATAAAATCCATATCCATACTTTGTATGTCTTGAAATATATTGTAAAGATATATATTAGATCTGGGAATTGTACAATTTTTAGATGCAAAACTGACAATAAACTTAATTTTTAAAATAGCATGTACAAAGTATGTTGTAAACTTAGCGGAATACATGAAATATTGTATTTAAGGTTTTTACTTGGATTTTTTACTTTGTACATGTAGAATGTTTTTTCTAATATTATTTTGATCTACTTTGTACTGTAGTGTATCAAAAATATTCTTACAATATAAAATAAACATTTTGCCAAATACCTTCTCAGTAATCTAAATTTGAAACTGATAATTAACTCATTAAAAATTTCTGAATACTCAAAATTACTAAATAAAATAAAGCGATTTTTTTTAATACAGATATTAAACACACTTTAATTTGCACTCAAAGACTGCAAAACCATAAAGTTATATGTTGGCCTAAATCTTTAATCCACTGGATGAACCACTTGAAAACTGATATTTATACATGTATTACAGTAAGTTCAATTCAATTTGTTCTAATAGTATATATGTAAAATTCGGTTAGCGATATCAAAGATGAACAATCAGTTAAAGCGGAATTGTCTCAGCTCTAATAAGACTACATGTATTGTTACATTGTATCTGTAACAATGGGATAATTCAAAATAATAACATGTATAGTTATATTTAATTACTCTGTTGAGAGCTGATAAAATCAAAACTCATTCTGTTACCAAATTTAAAGGCCTTAAATACAATGAACAACAACACAACAATATAAAATTGGATAAAAAAACCAAAGTCATGTAATCCATAGGTCTTTAAACTAATTAAACATTCACGTCATTTATATTTTTCAGTCAGATAAATTACTTAAAATATGTACATGTAGTTATAATCAACAATCAATAAGATTTCTTCATTTTTCGGTTGAGTATCAACTTCATACTATGGTACATTTGTAGATGTAAATGTTTGAACTTTGGGTTGAGCTTCAACCTTTAACAAGAATCCAGAAGATTTTATGCAGAGAGAAACTCAACTGAATGGTAGCTACATTTTTTTGTACACGTACATGTACAATGTAGCTGGTGCATTTGTTCATAGACACATCATTGCTATTTGTCTCGCATTACACAAAATATTGACGTCAGAACAAACAATTCTTAACACAATATTGTAACAGTGATTCTTGTACCACATTAATAAAATATATTGTCACACTAGACTAAGGGTCAAGGATCACAGGATTTTGGTAGGTTAAAACTGATGAAATCTTGCAGTATCATGCCCATAGAATTTTTCAATTAAGGGAAACTTACCTGAGACTTAGGAATAAGTGCTGGAAGTGAAGTTCTTCTCGTATTCTTGTGTGGAGCAAAAGCATGACTAGTGGATGTGCTTGACCGTCGTCGCTTTATTACTGGAATTTTGCCCTCACTCGTCATGAAATTATTGATAGGTGGCTTCAATATAGTTTCCATGTATTTAGAAATAATCACACCAGTTAAACCACAAATATAAGCAACATAAGGTCGGAGACATTGTGGGATATCTGTGAGCGTTGAACACGCTAAAAATCTTGTAAAACTAACCAGTGAAATAACGGCAGCACTATGTTGTGTTTCAAGTGACGAAAAAACACTAGATATGCAAATAGATAATAATACAATAAATACAATTAATGGTTGCGTCACAAAACTTGAAGTATTTTTACTATCGGATAGAGCACCCAGTATTATCTGGGCAACAGTTTCTCCCAAAAAACATGATGAGAATAGCAAATACACACTTGTTGTGTTCCAAGTTTTTCTCAAGTATAATGACAACCAATAATACGCACAAATTACTGTAAAAACGGGTACAAGGACCCCACAAACTCTTTGAAATAATGATCCAATATCACACCTTAGCACATGATATAATAATAAACTAGTAATAACAAATCCTAAACCGTACACTGCCCCGAGTTGGTTTGAGGAATAATTTGACAGGCCTAACCAGTTGAGTATTAAACTAAAATTTCCTTGTTCCAGTGGTTTTACCAAAATCTGAATATAGCCATTATTTTCCGGTTCATCTTCGTCCTTGTTTGCGTCATTTTTAGATCCTCTTCGAGCAGAAATTGAAGACCTGTGTAATGCCATTTTCAGAATGTGTATTCATCTGTTTTCTCCTTGTACTGCTACATCTCAGGAATTGTGGGTAAAAACATAAATACAGAGACAAGCCTCCTAGCGGCAGCAGCTTTTATAACACGGAAGTAAACTTTCTACTTTCACTCTGTCTACGGACATATGAAAACTACAAGTTTCTTCTGATAAATCAAGCCCATTTTTATGTTTAATCTAATACACATCGACAAAACACTAATACGTTTAAAAACGTGGTGGTCAATCAGGCCTGACACTCTGCGTTGTGTATCGATTATAAAAATCATAATAAATGTTTTCTTGGGGTTCAAGATGGGGTCAACAAGTTAACGATAACATAAAAAACATAATATCAGGTTTGGATTTCTACGAACTTTAGAAATGTTTCCTTGATGATCGCGGATCCCTCGAGTGCAAATTTATTTATTTGCATGATATTTTTGAGATGGGAGTAAATCGGATATATTTATTTATTAATGAAATGCACATTAAGGATTTCTATACAAATCCTTATGCACATTTATACCCCGAGATGTTGAAACTTGAAGGCATATAAACAATACAATACAAATATTTACACAATGCAAAAATAATAAAATATAAAACATCATATACACTGATTGGTAGTAAAAAAAGCAATAATATTTATGCAGGTGTTGTGTCCACTCCAGTCCTCAGTGCAGAACGGCAGTAAGCTGCATAATATCAAATGAAGATAGAAGTAATCTATCTTTTCAGATAAATTCTGGACAAATAATATTTTTGTCTTTTTCAAGCTGTTTTCGTAAAGATTTATTAATTTTAAATTTTAAGAAAAAGTGGGTTTCATCTTCAACCTCATTAATATTACAATGTTTACATATTCTATTCAACTTTTCTTTGAATTATTTTATATCTACCCCCGCTCTATTTCCAAGAAATGGTCACTTACTCGCATTTTACACAATATTTATTTCGATTTTCAAAATTATTTTTAAGAATGTATTTGTCTAATTCATATTTTATCTTAATTTTACTGTTCAAGAACATTTTACTTGTTTCATTAGTTGATTTTAATTTTTCAAAGAATATATTTTCAAAGCTATCTTTTAGTTCTTTTTTAATATTTTTTGAAGAATGAACTCTTCTCTTGTTTATAGTTTATCTCCTGTATTTAATTTATGTCTATTTTATTTGTATTGGCTTTATTTTCTACATATGAGAACCATGAAAATATACCGTTGTATATGAAAATAAGGAGATGTGGTATGATTGCCAATGAGACAACTCTCCACCAGGGACCGTGCCAAATGACATAGAAGTTTTCAACTATAGGTCACCGTACGACTACACATATAAATCATGTGTTGTAGTAGTATCAGTAAAAAAATAGAAAATATTTTTTTCACGGTATGAATAATTGATTTAAAAACTTTTTATAACTTCATACATATATGGATAGGTCAGGCTCGAGGTTTATATTTCTGAATAGCCATTTTTCTTTCACTTAAGTTCACAATAAAAGACAGACAACCTTTTAAAACAAACTGGGAATTCAGGTTAAGTTGATAGATCTACTATACTATAGTCTACAAGGTAATATTTTTCCCAGACTGGGACGTCTTTTAGAGGATATTGATACTGGGTGTTTCCCATCAAAAAAACAATGGAAATCGATTGTTCACAAAACAGTTAATGAACAACAGTCAGTCAACTGGTTCAACAGTATTGCGTCAGATGACAATTTTATGCGTTTTAAAAATATTCACAAGACAGTTTCTATGATGAACTTCTGGAAAAAGGCACTATCGTTTGCAGAAATACGGAATTCCTATTTTATTACAAAACTGTTAACCGAAATACCAAATTCATCAGGAAATAAGTGCGTCGCATGCAAAAAATACTTTGATATGTATGTTGTACTTGCATTTGTACTACAGAGCTGCGTGAAATGTTGTGGGATATGATTATTGAGAATTTTTCACTACAACTGTATTGCGAACTAAGTGAATATGACGATGAGGATGTTTACCAAATTTTACTTGGACGAATTCCATTAAGTGTAATTGCCGAACATTCGGAGTTTGAGAAGCTTTGCCACGTCCATGTTGTTCAATGCATAGCAACATATGGACGTTGTGTCAGCTTAGGCAATACATGATATTGTATCATTAAAGATTGCATAGCGGGACTTTATGCCGAGTGACTAAAGTGTATATTTGTCTGTAAATGTAAACAACTATTTTGTTCTTGTTCCTATTTCGTTTATTCTTTTTGTTGTGTGATATTTAATTAATTTTGTGTATTCATTATATCTCAATTATGAGGAAATAAAGACATGAATGAATGAATGACATGAATGATTCATTACTTTAGAGCTATTTTTCTAATGCTTGTGGTTTAAGGTTTGGTTGGCTTGCTTGCTTTGCTTGTATAAATAATTGCTCAAGCATTGTAATTAAGATTGACATCTGCAATCAATAGATAGGCGGGGCTTCAGCTTGTATACATTATACTTAAATGTTATAATGCAGAGTATAATGTATACAAGCTGAAGCTCCGCCTATCTATTGATTGCAGATGTCAATCTTAATTACCATGCTTAAGCTAACATTTATACAAACAAAGCAAGCAAGCCAAGCAAACATTTAATTCTTTATTACTTTGAACAATACAGTTCATCAGTATAATATGCATAAATATACAATTTATAAGTTGTATAGCGCTACAAACACAGAAATAATAAACGTCAGAAATATCAGTCACATTTTATACAGTATGTGAGTTTCAGAATACATATAAAATAAATATGTCTTAAATATTGTTTCTGCACTTAAACGCATAGAGTAAGTACTTTCCAAAATTACAAAGTTCCTTAGTGTTTTCAACAGAAAGTAATTTATAAGTTGAAGGTCTAGACCAATAATATTTCTTGATAAACTTCTTACGTATATCAGTATAATTTGTACATTGTAAAATAAAATGAAATCCATCCTCTACTGCATTTAGATCACACATAATACACATTCTACTATTTTTACTAATTCCATAAAAACGACCAGTTTCAATACATAGATTGTGTGAGGACAGACGAATTTTCGTTATCCATTTACGAATCATTAGAGGAATACATTTTTGTAAATAAAATTGTAATTCTACATTTGACACAATATACATATATATTCTACACTTTGGTGATGTGGCAAGCGTAAAATGTAGCTCTTGCTTAGCTTGATCATATAACCGTTGTTTGGTTAATTGTAAAAATGAACTATCCAAACAAAGTACCGATTGGTTGTCCCAATAATTATTCATACCAAGATCATATAACAGTGTATTAATACAAGTTGCCCAGTTTTTGCATTTATTACTATTTGCTACTAATTCTTTGTAGCATGACTTTATAATACAATTTTCACTGCCGTGAATTTTAAACCATAATTTGAGCATCCTAAAATTTCGCTCATATAACAATGAAATCTTCCTAATTCATGATATACAATTACATTAGCAGTCGACCTCATGACCCCTAGTAATTTTACAATACAGTCCAAATGAACTTTTTCTACATTTGGTACTCTATGAACACCCCATACTTCACAACCATACATTAAAATACTACATACATAAGTGTCAAATAAACTATAATAGAAGTAACAGTGTTCAGGTATAAGGCTGATACCGTTTTCCTCATACTAAACATATCTTTCCTGCCTTGTTCAGCACAGTGTTTTTGAGTAATATAAAATTTACAATTATAATGAAATAACACACCCAGATAACAAAAATGATTTACAATATCTGATGTTTTACCATTATAAATCCATGTCTCATTAGGTCTGATTTTCGCCGGGCCCACTTTTACGGAAAGCTACTATCTTGGTTTTATTAGTGTTAACTGAAAGACCCCATTTCTCAGTATAACCAGATAAAGTATTTAACATATTTTGCAAGCCTTGTATTGATTCAGACATCAATATCATATCATCAGCATACATTAATAAAAAAAAGTGTTATGTCCTGAAATTCAAGTGTACAGTCTCCATTAATGATGAATTAATTCTCGCAGTCATTAACATAAAATGAAAATAATATAGGTGAAAGAACTTCTCCTTGCATTAAGCCAAGGTTATTTGAAAAAATATTTAGAATTAAATCCATTGAACCTTATACAAGATCTTACATTGCTAATCATAGATTTTAAAATAATAAGCAATTTTCCTCTGATTCTTAATTTAGAAATCTTGTACCACATACATAGACGATCAACTGAATCAAACGCTTTTAAATAGTCAACAAAGCAACAATATAATCTATTACTTTTACAGAAAGAATTTTGTATGACAGAATATATACAAAACACAGCATCTACTGTACTGTAACCGTTATACGGAAACCAAATTGTGCATCAGATAAAATATCGCTCATTGATGCCCACTTCAATAATCTACTATTCAATATACTAAGTAGTGAATAGTTTACCTAGATTGCTGACAAGACTTATACACTGTAAAAACAAGTGTTTCAAAATAAAACACTTTTAAAACACATATCAGACACAGTTTTAAAACACTTTTAAGTGTTTAGTTCTAAGCACTTGTGTTTTATATAAAACGTTTAAAATGTTTTATACAGTAATCACTAATGTTTCCCTTCAAAACACACATGTTTTGTCAATAACACTATGATGTTTTACCTAAAACACTTCAGCGTTTAATATAAAACACCTTTAAGTGTTTATGAAGGAGACACTTTTAAAACACTTTTAAGTGTTTATAAATGAGATATGTTTTTGTTTAAACACATGTCTGATTTTATGTGTACACCGCAAGTGTTTTTGCATTGTATGTTTTGAAATGTGTGTTTTTAAAATGTGTTTTAGCTAAGCATTAGTATTGTTCCTTTTGCTCTTCAAATGACAAGATCTGTATCATTGGCTTGTATAGAAAATCTTACCACTAAAATTTGTCCTTTGCAGTTTCCTATACCCCAAATATTTTAAACTTGTCAGGTTTCATGACTGGAGTATTTTGTCATTATTTACTCATTAATGTTCGAACTAAAAAATACCCTTATAGTGCAACCAGTTGTTTGTTTCCAAAACAAGGTACATGTTATACCAAGAGTAATCTCCTACACTAATATAAAATTTTGTATAGGCATCATAAATACTGAGAAATAAAAAAAAATGTATGAAATTTTATTCATTGCAATTATTCTTTATAAAATCACAAATATTTTCCAAGATTGATACTGTAACAGTATAATAGATGGAACATGTAAAATAATATAAAGTTTCAGTCGCTATATCTGACATTTCTAATTGTTCTTGTCCCTTTCAAATATAAAGCTGATCTGAGTCCCTCCTCATGGTGGCTTTTTGTGTACTTATCCACTTCGTTTTCAACAACATTTTCATGTATGGATATGAAAGTATGCGACTTCTTCCCCTTGCCTTTGAGTATCCAGTTTCAGGAAGAAATTTGTACTCTGCCTCCTGAAATATTGTTCAATTCATTTATGTATGGCCTTTGAAGGTAATAAAGTTTAAATCATAACTTAAAAGTGAATATTAACTACCTAATATACTTGAATCTAGATGCCCCTTTTCTTGAAAATAATTGTGAGTTGATATATTGTCATTCTAAATAAAATCTATTTATACATTGCACAGTTAATTACAAAACATATGCAGATATATGTGTAAAGTTCATTAAAAATCAACAGATACCAAATTTATTGTGTTCAAAGTGATTTCCTGGAGAAAAAAAAAAACCTTAACCTTGAAAACTAATGGACAAATGTTAAGACTGAGTGCGTAAAAAAAGAAAGTAAACAAATCTGAGAATTGCTGCACTGTTCCCTGATAATAATGGTTAACAGATCAGTGGTAAACCTCACTTTTCCATTATAAAAGGGTTAACTGATAAGCAATTATTCAGCTGTACTTTCATATGGGGTTAACATTATACATCTTTTAAGTTACACCATTCTATTAATAAGCAACCAATCATATTACTCTTATGAATAAAGTCCACAGTAGATACATTTCGGGGTCTAAGACCGGCTTTTATAGCTGACAATGCGTTATGGGCTTTGCTCATTGTTGAAGGCTGTACGGTGACCTATAGTTGTTAATTTCTGTGTCATTTGGTCTATTGTGGAGAGTTGTCTCATTGGCAATCATACCACATCTTCTTTTTATACATATATGTTGATGTACAGATATTTTGTCATATTGAATTTTTAATGGTAATATATATGACACCAGTTTATTTTCATTATAATACTCAAAATATTGATGATATCTGTCATAAAAAATGAATTATCATATCTTGTTAATATCTTAAACGAATAAAAATGATTTCATAAATAGGAGTTGCTTGAAAAATACATGTTACTATGTAAATCTAGTCATACCTTCAATTCTTTTTTTGTTTATCTTTGGTAAAACACCTCAGAACTTTTTCAGGTTTACTTCCTATAACCTTCATATTCATTTATACTTCAGCATCTTGATATATTAAAATTCATCCAATATCTGGAACAGAAATATTTGTTTTTATGATATTTAGTCTGCAATCGTATAATTTATATGTACAATGTACGAAAATGTACATTGTTTGAATTGATAGCTTGCATTTGCACTTTTGGTTATGGGTTTTGCTCATTGTTGAAGGCCATACAGTACCCTATAGTTGCTTACTTCTACGTCATTTGGTCTCTGATGGAGAGTTATCTAATTGGCAATCATACTAAATTTTATTCTTATATGTACCTACATCCCATTTTTGTAATCAATACCGACAAAATGACTGAAACCTGAAACACATATTATTTTGTTTGGCATGACTCTACCAATAAATCTAAGTTTGTATTTTCAATGTTTTTTTCTGTTTTCTTCTCAATGAAATCATGGTCATATGAGGACCCTTAAGCTTACGTGTAATGCTCTGGTTAAAATGTTGACTTTAAATTAAAAGGTAGACCCTGATAATATGTACTGCAACACACAAATACAAATATCTCAAAACTATTGTTTTTCTTATTCATGTATATTAACATGACTCAGTATATGTACATTTATGTTTCATTATTCAAAACAAAGTCAAGACAACTGTTTTGTTTGGAAATATTGAAGTCACAGAAGGATAGACATAGGTAGCACTATATGCCCTGCCACTTATGGCCGGGGCATAAAAATAACATACCATGATTTCAGGTGTTTCTTTTCTGTGTTCTTCAATTTTTTTCTTTTGAATGCTGTCCAATGAACTCACTGCTGAAAAACAGTAAAATAAAATATGATACAAAATAATAGACAAATGAGGTAGTTAAATTGGATAGGCAACACAATTATGATTGCAGGCCATAAACCTAATTTGTCTTACAGTCTTTAACTTTAGCCTGATATTCTACCTCCTTGTAAAGTCTTACATTTGTACAACAACTTATACTAAATAAAATGGAATTCTGAAGACAGAAGTACATTTTATCCTGAAAATTTTATATTTGTTCAGTTAACAGGTTAATTGTTGCACCATCATCATGATTTTTTTTCAATATAAATATTTAAATCACTAGCATGACCTAGTCCTTGCTACAGAATGTACATATGAACTGAGACTATATAAATCTATAACAGTACATGTATAGTCTCAGGTGTAAAAAACAGAGGCAGATTTAGGTGGGGGTGGGGGGGTCCCCCATTTGTTGGAAAAATTTGATTGATTATCTAAGGAATCACTGAAGCATGACTGGAGCGGGCCCCCTCTTAGGCAGTCAGTTCCCCACCCTTTTGAAAATTTCTGGATCCGCCACTGAAATTTTCTATATTTGCTACTGTACTGTCAGTAGATTAATCTCGATTTTCATTTGTTTTCTTTCAATTTTAATAACAGTTTACATGCAAAAGACACATACAATGTACACATACATACCCACAAATCAACAAACTACATTATTAACATGATTAGTATTACACCAGGGACTTTCTATACTAAGTACTTAGTATAGAAAGTCCCTGGAGTTACACACACATCGACACAGGAACAAAAACAGTGAAACACCTTAAGGCTTAAGTTAACCCGACATGATGTCATTTATTTTTTCTATTGATTATGAGATAACAATTAAGAAGCATAATTTACATTTTGTAATCTTATTGTTAATATTATAGTCTTACAAAAAATAACTAACATCTTTGTTGTGTGTCTGTTGAAAAACTACGGGAAAATAATACAGAAAATTGCTTTCAAGGGAGAAAACTTATCTTGCTAAATATATTGGGGTCCTAAATGGGGTGATTTTCAGATGCACAAAAATACAATTTGTCGAGTATTGTCGTTCGTAAATCAGTCGTTTCTTAGATTTTCTTTTGTGAATACACATACGAAAACTAGTCAGGCTTATCACTATATCACATGGGAAGATATACTGTTTACCCTCGCTAAACGAAGAATTTACTACTATGAAAATCCTTGCTGTACCCCAGCAGTTAAGCCTAACTTAAAACAATTTTATTTAAATGATCACAAAAGAAAGAGTTATATTAAATATTAGAATTAAATATTATAACGCTTATGTCAGTCGTGTAAAAGCATTTGTAAATAAATTGCCGCCAAATTAATCTGGGATGCGGCTTTCGACCAAAACATTCCACATCGGTTAAAATATTAATACTAATTTGCTTGTCCGAGGATAATTTCACAATGCAATTAAACAAGAAAAGTAAAACACGAATTAGATGACAATAATTTTTATAACAATTAAACGTACCTTTTAATCCAGATTGTAATCATGATTCTTCTAGCCCTGTGTAGTTGTACATTTCCCTCTCAGCTGCAGCTAGGACACTGGATACCTTTGGCGGTATTAAAGGCTGGTCACGTGTGTATCATATTACGAAAACGCGAGTGTTTTTCTGTGTGTTTAGTTTTCATATGTCAAAAACGCTTATCCGTTTTGACAATATCTGAGCGATGACCCTCTGTCAATATTTATTGCTGCACCCCCGGATGATCATGTCTAGCATTTGTTTAATTTTACCCTTTTTTCAGTACTTATAGTTTTTTTCAACCAAATTTCAATTATAAGCCATAGAAAATCATATTCAAAAAAGACCAGGAATTACTTTTCTTTATCTGAATTGCATGGTTAGCTTTAGTTACATGACGTTTTTTACTATTTAAAGTGTCCGGCTTTGCTATTGAAGCTGATCACTCGACTTTATGTTGATAAATCGCTAAACAATAAATTGGGGCTATTTCTTTACCGTCATTGTAAACTGTTTAAAATAAAACACGAGTGTTTAACGATAAACAGAAGAAATTTGTCAAAAGCACACATGTTTATTCTAAAACACTTGCGTCTAAAATAAAACATTTGCGATTTTCTTACAAGTGTTTGAAATGTTTTTAAAATTACACTTGTTTTTACAGTGTACCACGGTAATTTGCTGGGTCGTTTACTTCCCGGATTTAAATACTGGCACTAGAATAGCATCAGACCAAGTGGACGGAAAATATCCGGAGCTCAGAACAGCATTGAAAATAGTACATATATAGGGCAGTACGAGGTCCTAAAACTCAATGAAAAATTCGTTTAAAAAACCATCAGGACTATGGCTTTTCCCGTGTTTTAAGTCTTGAATAGCTTTAATAAGTTCATCAATGGTTATATCCATATCTAGTTCTTCAAAAACACCACATTAATTATCTGGCATTTCTGTTCTTCTGTTGTGCTCGTCAGTATTTTATACTAGAATTTTGAAATAATTAAACAAGTCAGTTACTGCTAGATCACTGTTGACCTTTCTCCTCTTTTTGAATACAGAATAAAATTTCTTAGGATTGTCCTTCCTTAATTTACATAGGGTATCGCCTTCTTGTCGCATATATATATATATATACGTCTACGTTTTCGTTCATAGTACTTCTTTATACGTCTTCTTCACACAATTTAATTCAATATGGTTATTCTTTGATTTATTACCATTAAATATAGCTAAAGTTTTGCAGTAATTTACATAAAGTTCCTTACACCGTTGATCAAACCAAGGCTGATCAATATGATTATTTTCCTTCTTATAGTTTCGTTTTATTTCAGTACCACTTTTATGACTTTGTTGAAAAAATGGAGCCATAATATCAATGAAAAGACGTGTAAAATCGTTCACACATGAATCCATATCATCCTGAGACTCACTTCTATATTCTGGAGTGTCGAATTTATATATATTGTCAGAGTTTATTAAAAGTGCATTACGACACATATCCTTATATTCCTCATTCCATCGAAAGAATTTGGATGTCTCAGCATCCACAAAATTGGACTGTACACCATTACATTTAATAGAAAAATTAGTCTTGAATTGAATATGTACGGGTGCATGGTCACTGTATACAGTAGTAAAATTACAAGTTATGAATTTTGACACTATGTCGAAATTACTTGATCTAGTTGATAAATAGTCTATTACGCTCATACCTTTTGGACAACTGTATTTGTAATCATTAGCGAGACTACCTACATGACGACCGTTAAGAATTCGGAGCCCACTACTTTTACTTAGGTTGATGAGTTTTGTTCCATAATCATTGGTTCCAGGGTCAGGATTACTCCGGTCTGGTAAAGTCTCGTCAGCAACGTAAGCAAACATAATTCACCAACCCTATCTAAAATACTATCATGTAATAAATCATTTTATACAAAATCATTTAAATGAGCAGTTCTTGCATTAAAGTCACCAAAAACAAAAATATTCGGACATTCATCTGAGTACTTGATGATTTGTGTTTCCAGTTCATAAAATAAGTCCACATCATGTATCTTGAAAAAGGAAGAGCTATAGGGTGGTAAATATACATTACAAATGATATAGTCATTTACTGTACCAGTTACCCTTCCGGAGCACCTGAGATCACCCCCAGTTTTTGGTGGGGTTCGTGTTGCTTAGTCTTTAGTTTTCTATGTTATGTCATCTGTACTATTATTAGTCTGTTTGTCTTTTTATTTTTGGCCATGGCGTTGTCAGTTTGTTTTCGATCTATGAGTTTGACTGTCCCTCTGGTATCTTTCGTCCCTCTTTTAGTTCTTTAGATATTTTTAACCAAACAAATGTTTCATAAGATATTTCAATTATTGTCACATATGAAGCAAAATAGATTTGTTAATCATTACAAAGAGACCACAACCGTGTTTATACTTCTTTTTTGACAATGGGATTGCTTTACAAATAAATTCATCAATTTCCACATCACATGTATTATTTATCCAACATTCTTCTAAAAACACAATATCATAAGTGCACACAAAATTATTTAATTTTTACATCTTTAATTTTCGCCTTAAACCCACCATTTACATTCCATAATAAACACTTGATATTTGTAACTGAAATTTCCGACGGATCCTATATATGCCGTGATTATATCACTAGGAATTTCACTACCGGCAACGGTATCATTTTCAATATTTTCAGACTCAATTATATCTTTGAATTTCCTCTTTTTAGCATTATCAATGGCCACTCCAATTTAGACTACAAGCATTAGGAAAATAGCTCTAAAACTTATTGATAACATGACTTTGGATTTTTTTATAGGCATGATACTGCATGAAATTTGAATTTTTATATATTCGAGGATTTGCAGATATAAGCGCACAGAAATTAATAACTTATATTTTGTGAGAAGTTTTACATCCTTCAGGGTGTGTGTAACACTTAACAATTCAAAATGTTAAAAAGTTTTTAAATTTTTTTTTTTTATAATTTTTTTGATCAAAACTTTAAAATATCAAGATTCCAAATTTTGAAAATTATTCGTTTTAGAAATTTAATCAAACCATAAAAATACTAAACTTAACATGCAGTTTTGATCATTTCTTTTTTTGAAAGTTTGATTTTTAAATGTTTTATCTATTTTTAAGAAAGGACTAAAAAGTAAAATTTTTATCACGAAAGCGCTTGTGTGATTTTCGGGTTGTGCTAAAATGAGAAACAAAATCGAAACGCAATGAACGAAACGAAACAAGACATAACGAAACGAAACGAAACGAAACAAAGGATGTTTGTTATTTGTTGTTGTTTATCATTAATATTTTTCACACGTATCTTGTTTAACTTGTATGACAATACAGAATTATTATTATTGATATATTTGTGTTTGTGTACAGTTCAATGGCATATTTTTCATGAATATCAAATGCGAGTTCATTTTGACAGCAAATATCTTCGGAATTCCAACCTTAATACAGTCCTCATCTGTCGCCATACTGAAAACCATCATGTCAGTTGGGTTTGTGTAGATGTAAATTATTGAGAAGAAAGAAAGGCTTGATCACTTCATCTGAAACGGGGAAAAGGTGGTTGTTTAGTTAGGTCGGGTAATTCTGTGTTAAAATAATTGAAATTTGGGAAACAAAATTAAATGAATTTAAACTTTAACCTCTAGGTAAATGCCGGAGAAAGAACAAATTGATATACAAGTCAACAACAAAAAAATGTGATTGAGCAACACGAACCCTGCTATAACCAGAGATTGAATTATGTGTTCCCTACGAAAGGATCAGCAGTCCCGAATCCACCCATTGTGTAACTCTTGCCGTAAACTAGCTTGTATTATACAAAGAATAATTTTTCCTTTCATTTCTAAAATGAATAATTTCACCAAATATCTGCGATTTATTGTTACGATTTTGCTTTATTATGCAAGAGAAATATTGCTTGACTGATTGCTGGTTGCTTAGTGTACAGTGGCAAAATTTCATGCATGCTCAGATAGGAGGGGGTGGACAGCTTTTGAGGGAGGTGGGAGAAGGGGGCGGGAGGTGGGAGACAAAAAATAGGTGGAAGAGAAAAAAGATTCTAAAAGTGGGAGGTGGGAGAAGGGTACCCCCTGTCCACCCCCTCCGATAGAGAATAAATTAATAATAAATACAAAAGATAAGTCCCGTACTAGAGGCCTACCGTGATGATTGGAAGACCGTTTTAAAAACGCACTGGTGTGAAGTAAATAAGGGAAAATTTGGATTACATCTTTTACAAAACTCCCTTCGAAACTTGTTTAGAAACATGTGTAGAGTTCCCTGTATGCAGCCTAATCAGACTGGTTGTTTCCATTTTGATTATCCTTGTTTTTATATTTTACTGAATTTGTACTTTATCGAGAAAGTGTATGCTATATACGGTATGGACTATCAACTAAAAAAACTTTTTTTTATCGGCTTCTTTGTCAATTCACTATCAACTACTGTAACAACAAAAATTGGCGTCTTTGTCAAATAAACTATCAACTATAACAACTTTTTTGTTGCCGTCTTTGTTAGATTTATTTGCATGCAAGTTTGTTTGAAATTTTTGGTCAGTTGTGTTGTATGTCTGTAATGTATGTTTACACAGTTTTTGCTGCTTGATCCCAATTAATGTCATATTAACCTATTATGCAGAAGCGGATTTAGGGGGAGCCCCCCCTTTTTTGTGGAAAAAATTTGGTTGATTATTTAGGGAATCACTGAAGCATGACTGGAGCGGTCCCCTTTTTATGGCAGTCAGTGGGCCCCCCTTATGAAAATTTCTGGATCCGCCACTGTTATGTTTGTTTGGGTTGCTCACCCAATTTTGTCAATATAACGGAACTTAAAAAACAACTGTCATACAAGTGGGAGGTTTAGGTAGGTATAAAAGCAGGTTAAACCCCCTATTTTTTTCGGAAAATGCCTGTACCAAGTTTTCAAGTATTCAAACTTATTTCATTTCTTAGTTCTTTCCTTCAACGAAGCAGAAACCGTCGGTGAATAGTTGTTAATGAAAATTAGAGAGCAGTAAACAGTGCTTTCCAATGCTTTATATTGTTAATTTCTAGATATTTTTCGATATTGTACTTTCATACACACCCACAAACTTCGTTTCTTTTACTATACATTTATTTCAAATTTATACATAATTGAATGATTTCAAATTAAAGTTGAACTGACTAACCGTTTATATCCAGCAGCCAATGTTATATGACATGTTTACAATGAAATA